TAAATTCTGCAGTTAAGAGGCACAAGGAGCATTAGCATTCTGGAAACGCAAAGCAGCGGGTGGGACTTGCACCCAACCTGCTGAATCCCCATCCTCCACTCAGCAAATTTGGGGACGTTCAGATCTGCAGCTAAACTTTGCACCCGGGGCCCAGCTCTGAATAGTGGCCCTGCATGATTTCCCTGGATATGGAGTCCCTCTACTGAGGATGATGGGAGCTGAGAGCCCTCAGCACCTTGCAAAAGCCTATCATATGTGCATATCAGCCCTTCCTAATGTTTATGGCCATCTGTACTGTTTTCCAGAGGTGCTGAGCAAACCCAACACCTGATTGAAGTCAGTCCCCTTCAGGAATCAGGCCCCGAGCTCTCATGTGTGTCAGCCAGCATCCGCCTGCCTTCTGTTCAGTTTTGTGGGCTCTCATTCGCTGAGAATTGTAGGTTGCTTCAAAGCCCCATATTGCAGCATATTTGCTTTTTCTCAAGCAGCAAGCACCCCAGGGGGATTGGAACTGCCCAGGCACTGTAGAGGGTTGGAACGAATAGCAACGAACGGAACGGGAGTGGGACAATGGAATCCAGCAGAGTAGCTCGTCACTAAGAGGCAGAGAAAGTGGCAGACCTCTTAAGTTTAGCAGTACTAGGTGCCACCGGTGACTATACCTGAATCTGCATCCACCCTGGGTCCCTGCCTTTCTGAGAACAGAGAGGAACAATACAGCCACAGGTCTCAAAGCGCTGCCCAAGTGTGGGCCAAGTTTCATTATCTCCATTTTATAGATGGGGATAATGAAACTGCAGCGCAGGGAGGTCAAATGATTTGCCCCAGGTCACCCAGCGGGTCAAAACTGGGAGCAGAACCCTGCTCCCAGGACTCCCAGCCCTGGGCTCCATGCACAGGAAAAAGCATGGTTCTTGCAGGGCCGTTACTGCTGTCATGGGCTGAAAGGGAAAAAAGAGCTGGAGGCGTGTGGGGGTTTTGTGGGTGATGCAGTTTCGCTCAGTGAGCTCAGGGCATGGCAAGAACATTAAAGCCCTTGGACTCAGCCAGTCCCATCACCCGGATGGTCCCTCTGCATTCCATTCACCTTATAATTCCTGCTCCAGTCCACGCCCAGAGCTCTGCCCTACGCTGGCACCTCGCCTTTGGCCAGGAGGCAGGGTGAGTGCCGCTGCCGACTGCCAAAGCCGGTGGCACTCTGCCACACCAGGGCTGACTTGCTGCAGGTGATAAAGATCTGGCACCCCACTTCCTCCCTATTCCGACTCCATGTTTCCCAATCCCCCCCATCTTTCCCTTCCTCTCCTCCCTACCCATCACACCTTCCTTCCCAACCCCCTCTCCCCTCCCTTCCCTCTCCATCTCTCCTTCCCTCCCTCCCCATGTCCGATATACCAAAACCCTGCCCTGATTCACACCCTGGGTCACCGCACCGACGCCCAGGTAGGACAGAGCCCACTGGGCTTCCTCTCAGTGAATCTGTGTGGCAGGCTCAAGATACTTCATCTCTGCCCGCTGGCCCCCTCATTCAGGGACAGGCAGATGTGATGCCTGGCTTGGCTGTTTGAATAGGGGCTCCCCAGCTAACTCGCTTTGCCTTGCTGCCCAGCCCCGCACAATGTGGTGTGATTAATTGGACAGAGCCAGGCACTGAAAACAGCGCAGAGGACTGAGAGCTCCCGATTTCTTTCTGTCTCTTATCACCCATGGCTTGGATGGGTCGGGCTCTGGCCCCGCCCTGCTGCCAAGCTTGTGGGGAGAGCCACGGCATGAATGGGGAGGCACAGTATGTTAGGACTGGGTCCAAAGCCCACACCAAGGCATCGCTAAGAAACGTGTTTCAGTTTCACCCTGCAAGGGATAAAAGGAGGTATACTGCTCACATAGTGCCCCCTGCTGGTCAGATGGTGTCTGAGACCTAGGCAGCCTCCCTGGCCAATTGCACCTCTCATTGAGTGGATGTCAAGAGAACTGCTATTCAAGAGGAGGGGAAAGGAGTCAGAAAGGGGGAGGGACGGAGGACAAAAAGATAAGGACAAATATATATTGAAAGTCTTTCCTTATAGTGGGATTCAAGAGTCTGAAATCAGATCCTTGCCATTCTTTATACTGTAGAAAAATACAGCTACCGTAGGACTCTGTGTGTGTGCGTCTAATGGGCACGAAGTCTTTCCTTCTTTCTTTCTTATCTTGTTTTTATCGTATCTATCTGTCTGCCTATCTGGGCTGGCTGCCTGCCTGTGTTTCTTGTGTCAGACATGCAGTCTGTCTGCCTGCCTATCACACTTCACCCTGGTATCTCCTCTCCGGCAGGTCACATTGTGCTGCCTGGTACTTTGTGCAGGGTAGACAGGGAAAAACCCGAGGGAGATAACTGCCCTGCATGTGCAGGGGAGACCTTTGGAGAGGAAAGTGGAGTTTGGACTCTGTGACCCATACAGTCTTTGGCGTCTTCGCCGACCCTGCCAACCGGGGACAAATTAGGGATCGCTGCAGTGGGGGTTTGTAGTGGATTTGACTAAGACCCAACAACCTCATTTCACACAGACCACTCAACAGACACCAGACTAACTTCCTGGTTCCTTCTGGCCTAGGGTGCATTCAGACCAGCAACCCACATTCTGCAATCCGCAGTCCCTCACCAGCTGCCGCCCGCATCAGCCTGGAAGAGATTCTGCTGCACAATACCAGCAGCGATGGGAGGGTACATAAGGAGGTGGAGACATTGGGTGTGTGTTTGTGGGAGAATAGCTGCATTTACTCCATCTGCACCAACATAAAAAGGCTACAACCAAAGAACAATATCAAGAGGAGGAGAGGAATGAAGAGATACTTGCAGATAATAAGCCAGCAGATTCAATCAAAATCCAAGCCTTTCCTTAAGTGGCTGCTCCTTCATGCCAGGCGCATTCCCAGATTTTCTCTGAGTCCTTTGGTCACCCTCCCACTGCCCAAAATCAGAAAGTAAATGTCTAGAGTGGGTGAGCCAGTTTTAAACAACTTATTTATTCCCTTGGAAATCAGGCAGGAGAAATTATTCCAGCTTTAGACAGAGCTTGGATCCAATTCTCAGCACTTCTGCATTTCTGTAGACGTTCGTCATAGCTCCTTGTCAATATTAACTTGCAGAAGGCAAATATCATTCCATGTATTTTACTCAGGGATAAACAGACACATGGAGGGATTAAAGGCCCAATCCTGGACCAGTGAACTCAATAGGAGTTTAGGCATCGAATTTCAGGGGGAGATGGATCAGGCTCTAAGGCTAGAATTTTCAAAAGAGCTCAGCACACTGGGAATACATTAGATGCTGCTAAGGTCTTTTGAAAATCTGGGCAAAAGTTGCACAGTGTAAACTGTGGCTGCTTTGAAAATCTGGCCCTTACTTAGGTGCCCAGATGGAAGCTGAGCTCTTACGAAAATCTGCCTTCAATTGTGGGTGCTGAACACTTGAAAATCTGGCCCTGAGCTCTTTTGAAAATTTGCCCTCCCCCACGACTTGCCCCACCTAGTGTAGTAAGTCAGTAGTAGACCTAAAACTGGGAACCGAAACCAGGAGTCCTTCCTAGTGCCCAGACCACTGTTCTGATCACTGGAAAGCACTTCCTATTTTAAGGAGGTTTATTAAGACTGAAATGTCCTTTAGCAGTAATCATGTGACAGAATTATTTTATGTGTATAATCCCCGTTCTGATCCACAGAAGCTGTCACTCGCCGACCCTTCCCTAGCCTTCTTCACATCAGAGCCCTCGTCAGGAAGAGAGAGGCGTGTGGCTTCATTAGTCAGGTAATATAGACAGTCATCCCAGTTATTTCAGAAATACATTTTTAATGGCAGATTTTTTAAAAACCTGCTTCTCCATCTTTGCTGCTATGGGTCACCAAAGCCCTTGATAATGTCCGCCTTTGAACGGAGACATGGAAGGGTTCTTGTCAGAGCCCGTGGGCAAGGGACAACGCCGTTCCAACTCCAACTGCACACATGATTTGCTGCATGTGCTGCAGTTTGGAAGAGTAATTGTGTGAACATGGAATCAATAGAACCACAACCCTCAATCGGACAGGATGGCTTCTGAATAGTTTAGCAGCTCAGCTTCAGCCGAGGTGGGTAGTGACTGGAGGTGGCTGACATTTTTCACACAAAAGGATTTTTTTGGTCGAAAAATGGCCTGTTTGGGAAAATGGTCTTGAAATTTTCTGTTTTTCCAGAAATTTTTCATTAGATTGTTTTTTGACAATTTTTATCAGAATTTTTTGTACTCAATGTGATTTTCAGGAAAGGATTTTGGTATTTGAGCACTAAGGAGTCGTTCAGGTGTGATATGGGAGCTCTGTCAGTATTCCCTTGCAAGGAGGACACGTGTAAAATAGTTTAAAATGTTCACTGAATATGTTGCCAAAATGGATCTGTTTTGAACAAAAATAGAAGCAACCTTGGCATTTTGAAATGGTTAGCAAAATTGTTTTTCTGCTTTTTGACCAGCTCTAATCAGGCCTGAAAGTTACTGATATCTGATGAGTGGCTGGTGGCCTGCCTGGGTTTGATAATCTTAGATCACTTCCATATGGACAAGGGTCTATGTTACAAAATCATCCTCCCAAACAGAAGCAGTTAGCTGTCTCAGCAGTGAAGCCAAATGAACATATGATTAGATAAACCATCTATACCTACAACATTTTGAGGATCTGCATTTACAGCCCTGATCCAATAGCTCCAAAAATACAGGTCTCTACGCACTGAGTTGAAAGATTACACCCTTAGCTGGTAGCAGCAACAGTTCCTTTGTTCCCTCTGTAGACCAGCCACTAGAGAAAAACACTTAACAGTCACAAAGCTGGTGTATTACACTCCAACCCCTAAAATTAACCTCTCCAGGTTACGGTTGAATCCTGTTGTCGGGCAGTGTGTGGATGCTTGAAATGTTCCTTCTTACATCAGCCTTGTTGCTCTTGGCCCATCTGTCAAATCCCAAACCACTTGAAAAAGTTTTTGATCTTACCTTGCTGGTGAGTTTCCAGTTCCTTTGTCTCAAGGTCATGGGTCAGATCTAGAAGACAAATCAAACAGCCATCAAAAGAAAATGTATCATTCTGGCAAACTCTTCGCATTTACTCATCATCATATTTAATGCTTTAAAAAGTGGGTTGCTGGATGGCTCGTAATTTATAATGGCTCTTGATGATGTCTCTTAGACCGAGCCCAAACCGTCATGATAAATGTTTCTGTCTCAGAGAATTCAGTGACATGCTGATATGGAAATAGATATTTTTGCTAGATGGAGAGTATTAGTATATTATCAAGCAGCCATGTAGCTTTTACATTCTGAATGACAAGTCTCCCCCATGTGTAACCAACATAATAATTACAGATGCTGCCCCGTCAGCTGCAGTGATGGAGCAACCTGTTATTGTTTAGTGTGGCAATGCCTCTTTTTAAAAACGGAGTCGCTGGAGCATTCAGTTGAACCATTGTAGGTGCTTATTTAAGCCAGGACAAAGAGCAGAGCAGTGAAGTGAAAACACAGCAGAGTGTAACCTGCCTACTGAAATATCTCATAATTTACTCTGACTGAATCTTTCTGTCTGTCTGCCTCTTGCTCTGCATATTCTGAAAGCAGAGCACTCTTGTCTCCTGTACTAGGGACTGGAATAAGGATGTTGTCAGCACTCTTCTGGCATTGTCCAGCTTTTAAAACCTGTACCCCAAGGTAGCTTGGATAGTATATGTGACATCTACTAGAGAGTTAAGCATCAAAGTTCTCAGCCACTGGGCTTCCATTCTGATGAGGAAATGCTTGTAAGTGAATATTCGTCTGTAATGGTCACCATCATGGGCTGTCACCAGGGTGGGGTTGCACTTTAGACCCCCAGCACTAAACGTATAACCCTCTACTAGTTGAGATTAAGGAAAGGCCCTGATCCTCAAAGGTATTTAGGCACCTAACTTCTTTAGCTGGTAGTTGTACTAGACTCATACCTGCTATGGATCACCCATTGGATGGGTGTGTGAAACACAAAATGAGCAGTGGATTTCACTTGCCTGGCTGTGATGGCTGAGTTCTGAAGTGGCCTCTGAAATGCAGAGCTCTTCTGCTTGTGTAGTTGAATTAAACTGTCTTCACAAAGCAGCTGCTAACCAGTTTGCTTCTGGACTCTTACCCTTTGCTCTAAAACCAACATGCATATCCTCGACCCATGCTCCTGGCTTATCTTTCATATCATAAAGATATATAAATATAATGAACATACGACATGCTTTATGTGTTTACATTACTGAAATCCCATGATTGAATATAGGAAAGATATTTTGCAATCACAAAAGGCTGCCAGCAGCCTTTTGATATTCAGAGCTAAATTATGCCACTCAGGGCTGCATGCTACAGACATGATGATAATAATCTAACAGTTATCTGTGGAGCTGAGCCCTGATCCTGCTTGCATCCATGCTGAGGGGAGCAGGATCAGGCCCATTATGTGAGGCCGATATATAACAGTAAACTCAAGAGATGAATAAAAGCCTCTGAGAGTTTGTTTCACGGCATTTTTAAATGACTTGGCACCTGGGCCTTATATTAAATCCATTCCTTTCTGCTGATGAATAATGGGGCTGGTACCAATCACACTGGCAATTTAAAAAGGATAGTGTGTGAGCACAGGGGCGTGTGTAAATTTGAATGCAATGAAGGAGGGTCAGTCTGTGGGGGGAGAATGGGGCAGCAGCTGGGTTCAAACCCTTTGGTTTACAATAGGTTGCAGAGCTAGAAGTGGAGTCTGATGCAGAGGCAGCTGGCTAGGAACCTGGGACCCTATTCAGTTTCTCTTTTTAGCAGATCAAGGTCAAATGCTGGGCGCTTCAAAGCTGTTGGGAATTCTGACATTGCCTCCTTTGGGACCTGACTTTGGCTCTTCATTTAGAAGGGAAGTGATGATTCCTAGTTGCTTTCCCTCTCTGCACTGGGAAAAGGGAGACAGACTAGAACAGGGGCGGGCAAACTTTTTGGCCCGAGGGCCACATCTGGGTATGGAAATTGTATGGTGGGCCATGAATGCTCACGAGATTGGGGTTTGGGGTGCGGGATGGGATCGGGTGAGGCTGGGTGTGTGGGGTCTGAGGTAAAGCCAGAAATGAGGAGTTCAGGGTACGAGAGGGGGCTCTGGGCTGGGTCAGGGGGTTGGGGTGCAGGATGGCACTCTGGGCTGGGACCAAGGGGTTCGGAGGGCAATCAGGGCTGGGGCAGGGGGTTGGGGTGTGGGAGGGGGTCAGGGGTGTAGGCTCTGGGTAGCGCTTACCTCCGTCCCCCGTCCGCAGGCGCTGCCCCTGCAGCTCCCATTGGCCCCATTTGCTAGCTAATGGGAGTTGTGGGGGTGACACTTGGGGCGGGGGCAGTGTGAGGAGCCCTCTGGCTGCCCCTACGCATAGGATCCAGAGGGGGGACGTGCCGTTGCTTCCGGATTAAAACGTCTGAAGGGCCGGATGCAGCCCCCGGGCTGTAGTTTGCCCACCCTGGACTAGAACCTGGCGACCCTGGTCAGTTGGCCTTTTGCAGCAGGCTGTGTCTGCCCACGCATGGGAGCACTCTGACCTGCTGCTGGGGCTGGTAGGCTGAGCCAGGGCCGGCTCCAGCTTTTCTGCCGCCCCAAGCGTCAAAAAAAAAAAAAAAGGCGAGGCGGCGGCACTTTGGCAGCAGCTCAATCGTGCTGCTTCTTCGGCGGGAATTCGGCGGCGGGTCCTTCACTCCATCTCTTCCTCTTTGGCGGCACTTCGGTGGCAGCTCAAAGTGGATGTGGATGTGCCGCCCTGATACCCGACGAACTGCCGCCCCTTTGTATTGGCTGCCCCAAGCACCTGCTTCCTACGCTGGTGCCTGGAGCCGGCCCTGGGCTGAGCTCTACTGCCATGTTAGGGCCCAGCCCTGCGAACGGCTGAGCGCATCCTGAAAGGTACTGAGCGACCTCAACCCCTTTTGCGGTTAGTCGGAGATGAGGCTGCTCAGCAAATGGCAGGAGGGACACTGCAGCTGGCAGGATCAGGCCATTAAATTGTCAGGCATACTAAAGTGAATCTATTGAATGGGCAGCATCCAGCCTGCGGGACAGGAGTTTAACAGCTTTGTGCTTATCATCACCTGCCATTTGCAGGGGAGAGGAGGCCCGATTCCCCTGTCGTTTATACCTATTTTACACGGATGTAGTGCCAGTGCCTTCTAAAGAGCTTCTCCTGATTTATACTGGAGGCGAGGGTATGTCTACACTGTAATCTGAGGTGTGACTGCAGCTCGGGTGGACATGCCCGTGCTAGCATTGCTAAAAAGAGCCGCGCAGGCCTCAGCAATGCAAGCAGGTATCCAGGGTTCCAGGTGTGCTTGTGCAGCCTGCGCCGAAGACCGTGCCGCTGCATCTACCCTGCTGTTTTTAGCAATGCTGGCGCTGATACTTCTGCCTGAGCTCCAGTCACACCTGGGAAGGCAGCAGAGACGCAGCCTACGTGGGTCTGTCTACACTGCCCCTGGAAATGAGCAGCCCAGCCCGTGGGAAACAGCCTTTGCTTTAACACTGCAACTCGGGCTGCAGCATGGGGCCCCAAGCCTTTCCCGCCCGCCCCCCGAGGCTTCCGAGCCCAAGCTGCGGCCTGAGCATCAATGTCTATACAGCTATTTTTAGCACGCCAGCGTGAGCTCGCCTAACACAAGCCTGTCGGCTCAGGCTGAGACGTTCATTCCCAGTGCGAAGAGAATTAGGCCCGAAGACTCTTATCTCTGCCCCGGTTCACCAAGCCACCAGCCTCTCGTCATTGAAATCTCTCATAAAGACTCGTTTCTTCCCTGATGTTCGCAAAAGGGAGTTTTCAACAATATATTAAAACAAATTCTTAGTAACTTCTTCCTCAGGGCTTCCCAAAGTGTCCTGTCTTGCAGCAACTGGAAGCACTTTGGGGCAGGCTCTATATCGATTTCGTGTTGGCACAGCGCAGATTGATAGATCCTCAGTACTGAACAAATACAAATACTATTAGTATTGCAGGAGCACCGAGGAGCCCCAGTCCCGGAACCCCTTGTGCTCGGTGCTGCACAAACACAGAAAACTGCAGTCCCTGCCCCAAAGAGTTTACAATCGAAGTCATTAATACTACAGCCTAAGAATTAAGCAACATTACAATCTACGTAATTAATAAATACTAAATCATTTTTCCAAGCTGTGCTATAGGGTAGCTAGTGGAGCTCTAGTGGTCCCCATAAAACAAACTGGACATTCTAATGCTGTGAACCGGCTGTGTTTTGCTTAGCCCAAACAGGAGACTTTATATGAAAAATGAATCTCATTCTTGAGCATCCTTTTTTAGTTTCTCTTTGGGACCAGTGGATAAAAGGAATTAGAGAGATATTCATCCTATTTAGCAGAAGGATGCTGTCTGTGTTTGGGAATCAGGAGAGCTGGTTTCAATACATAGCTCTGCCACAGACTTCCTGCATGACCTTGAGCCAGTCATTTAATCTTTCTGGCCCAGATCCTCAAGGGTATTTAGGCTCCTGACTTCCATTGAGGATCTGGGTCTGTGATGGGGGGACCACCCCACAGAGGACTAGAAGGGGTTAAGGTGGCCCACAGGCCAATTAACTCCACAGGCTTCACCTGGAGGAAGAGCCATGGAGCAGGGAACTAATTAGAAGCAGGTTCAGCTGTGCAGCAACAGGAGGGGTCTGTAAAGAACCAAGTAGCTGGCAACACATGGGGGCTGCTGAGAAAGGCAGACAGTAGTAGTCCCTGGGAGGAGGGGGGTTTTGGTGCTGGTATACTCAGAGAGAGAGAAGGGGAACTAGGGGTGGTAGGAAGCAGTCCCTGGAAGGAGCAGTGAGGGCTGAGAGAGAAAAGCACAGAACTGCTGAGCTGCAGGTCCCTGGACTGCAACCTGGAGTCAGGCCGGGCCGGGGTTCTCCTACGAGCTGCGGAGGGAGTGGTGCCATGAGGCAGTGAGAGGGACTTTGCCACCTTGGAATGGGGAATACTGAGTGACCTGGCTCCAGGGCTGAGTCATGAAGACCACGGTGCA